TATATGTATATGTATATGTATATGTATATGTATATGTATATGTATATGTATATGTATATGTATATGTATATGTATATGTATATGTATATGTATATATAATAATGAGTCGTTGACCTCATATTTCTTAAGAGTATCCAATGCTTTGGCAACATTATTTTCAGTTCATGCTTGGGAGAAGATATTGATAAACTATGAGTCATGTACTCATGACTATGGGCATTATTAACTGGCAAGTCCAGTTGATTGCTAAGATACAGATAGACACAATATTGTATTGTACCCCATATGAATTGTCATCTTATAAATATCCACTTTAAAATTCTCAGTTAAAAGTACAATTATATAGGAACTTAACTGGCAGCTCACTCAAACTGAATAACTGGAATTCAATTGCACTCTAAGTGAATGTGCACTTTTGCAGGAAAATGATAATACATCCCAAGAGATTCAATTCAAGAACCAAAATGAATGCTGCATAAAATGTTGAGTTCAGGCTAAACATATATAAAATATCAATAAAGCTTTTTTTAAAGAGACAAAATAGGAACGCAGTGGCTCAGTGGCAAAGATGCTGAGCTTGTTGATTAGAAAGGTTGTCAGTTTGGCAGTTCAAATCCCTAGCGCCACGTAACAGAGTGAGTTCCTGTTACTTGTCCCAGCTTCTGCCAACACAGCAGTTCGAAAGCACCTAAGTAGAAAAATAGGGACCATCTTGATGGGAAGGCGTTCCGTGCGCCTTCAGCATTTAGTCATGCTGGCCACATGACCACAGAGATGTCTTAGGACAGCACTGGCTCTTCAAATCTGAAGCAGAGATGAGCACCGTCTCCTAGAGTCGGGAATGACTAGCACATATATGGGAGGGGAACCTTTACTATAAAGAGACAAAACTATACCAAAAGGCAGGAACGTCCATGGGGGATGGCTTCAGAATTTGCTAGATGGCAGGCATGGTATCATAATCAAACTTCTACAAAGTTTTCTTCACATGGAATGAGAACATTTTAGGAAATGGATTTATAATGTTGTCCTCTATTGAATTTGGAAGTACCTGAACATTTATATAACAACACAGTCTTAATGTTTTAAATCTATTAATTTCTCAAACTTAAAAAAATGTTGAGTTTTGTGTCAAGAGTAGCTTTTATTTTATGCATTCTTTGTCTATTTTACTGTATGAACTGATTGCCTTTGTCCCTTTAATAGGAGGACAGTTGCATAGAACTACTTCTAATCAAATCTCTCTTCAACAGCAAAGCATTTTTCAAATCCAGGGAAATTTTCTAATCGGCAGCCTAGTGCTAGTGCCCACACACAGAGTCCTTGCCATGCCAGCTCTTATCGCTACGATCAATGTAGTGAAGACACCCACATAGCAGCAGCTGCTGCAATTCTGAACCTTTCCACTCACTGTAGGGAAGCTACAGAGATCCTCTCCAGCAAACCACGGAGTCTGTCTGCCAAGGTAGGCAAGTCCAGAAACCTGGAGGGTACGTTAGCTACTGAACTGTGTGAATAAACTGTCTTTCCTATTAGTGATTGCATGCAATTGCTCCCCCTTCCTACCCCTAAAAAGAGCAGCACCTTTCTGAATATTCCTTTAAAAAGTGACAGGACTATGTTCTGGAGAGTTGTCATAAATGGCTTCTACATGGAAAAGAACTATGGAAAGACATGGTGCAAAAGTGGTTTAAAAGAGGCTTCTTCTCACATGAAATAAAGACTACTATAAAATTAATAGAAATGTTAAAAAATTCACGTTTTGATAACTTGGAGATATATACAAGTTTTGGTGAGATGGTTGATGAAAATGTGTAGCTGTTAACTTTTAATTTTAATTAGCCTTTGTTTTCATTAATTATAAAGCAACAGATTATTTTTGTTGTTTTGTTACTTAATAAGATTGGATTCTCAACCAGTGTCTTTTAGATTTGCTGGACTTCAACTTTGTTAAGGAATCCCAGAAATGTTTAACAATGCAGCCTTGCAAGTAGGCAAATTAGGCTGCATTAGCACCATTCACAACCAATATAGCAGCAAGAACATCATTGGAAAAAGTGCCAGTAGTGTCTTGAACATTGAGATGGTTTTGTAGAAAAAATGAACAGGCACAGATGTGTAGAACTAGGTAGGTTAATAAAAAAGTATTATACAGTGACATGTGTTTGTGCTGGAAAAGGTAAATTACTATTCCCCAGGCCTTGTACCAGTGGTGGGATACGACCGGTACACCCCGATATGAGCGTAACGATGCCTGCTGGGAGCACTAGGTACCGTTCCATTCCAGTGCTTCGGAGGGCCCACCCACTTGCCCGCTCTCCTTACCGCTATTTGAGTCGATCGGGCCATTTGTGCACACGCACAGAGCATACGGTGCTGCGTGCATGCACATGGTGGGTGCCCGGCCCCGTTACACAATACCAGTTGCAACGGGATCTGGAACTCACCACTGCCTTGTACTAAACATTTTAGCCATAGTTCTCAGTCCTGCTATGTGAGCAGTCATTAATCTGGTGCTGGAGGATCTTCTTCAGGAAGATTGTTTCCTTCTGGCAAATGTATAATGTTAATAGCATATCAAAATATGGAAAATCAATCGAAGCTCAGACGTTAAACAAGGATATTCTACTTTGCCTTTTCCAACAACTAAAGAAGTCAACTATCCAGGCAATTTCTTTTTAAGGTATAGGATTTCTAACAAGTTTAACTGGAGCCACAATTGTATTTACTACCTTGGACCAAGTAAGTATTCTAGTACTAGACGCCAGAGGCAATATTAAACTGCTGCCCTCACCTTTGGCTGACCTTAGAAACAGATCGTTCTTGCCAAAGAAGAGTAATTGTGTGTGTGTGTGTGTGTGTGTGTGTGTGTGTGTGCGCGTGCGCACGCGCATTCAGTTATATACCTGCTTTGCATTTGCCAAAGAAGGGAATGCAATTGAAGCAATTCCTAGTCACAACTGTAGCACACAGTAAGGATAAAGGGCATACAAACAAGTTTTTAATATACAGTTAAAAAATATAATGTGTTGTCCTCT